CCATCACCCTCCCCATCGCCACCATCATCATCGTCATCATCACCACCGCCATCGTCATCATCCTCATCTTTACCAACACCATCATCATCGCCATCTTGTCAGTTCATTAGCACTGTGATTATCATCCGCGTCATCGGCATCCTCGTCGCCGTCGTCATCATCATCACCATCATTACCGTCATCCTCCTCATCCTCATACTCATACTCCTCATCCTCATCCTCATCATGCTCCTCCTCCTCATCCCCCTCCCTCCCCATCATCATCGGCATTCCCGTCACCACCATCATCATCACCAGCATCATCATCATCATCATCATCATCAGCAACAGCATCAGCATCGCCATCATCATCCAACCTCCTCCCCTTCTCCTCGTCCTCGTCCTCCTTCTCTTCCTCTTCCAATCTACTCTTCCTCCTCCGCCTTTCCTTCTCGTCGACGTCGTCGCGCCCTGCGGGGAGTCCAACCAATGCTTTACACGCCTACGCTGGGACTCTGAAGGGGCCTGCAAGCATAATATAATCTGCCGCAGTTTCGCACAATGCAGGCGAGCGGAACACGAATTTCAATATATGCGATACATAGGGAAACGCACTATCCGCGCCAACGAGCAACGACCGTTGCGCTGCTGCAGGCAGCAGACGCCGGAGGCGGCTCTGGGCCACCCAGGCGATTTTCAGCAAAATGAGGGAGAAGCAAGACAACAAGAAACAGCAAGAAGAGAGAGGCCGAGAACGAGAGAGAAAAAATAACGAGAGAAGAGAGACAGCAGAGAGAGAAACAAGGACAGGAACAGGCACAAGGACAAGGACAAGCGGCAGCAGCGAGAAGCACGAGAAGCAGGTAAGCAGGGACGACAAGAACATATCTACACGATCAGCCACCTACCTTCTGGCTCGCCCGCTCGGGCTGCTGCCTTCGAGCTGGTCCAGAAGCTCCTGCGCGCCGCTCAAGACTCCCTTTGGGGCCCTGGCCGGTGAAGTGCTGGCGCCCGAACATCTTCATGGTCGCCATGATTTTCGGCTCTACCTCGCGACACACAAGAACCAGCTGGATGTAGAGTTTCGCGTGCAAAACAGTCCTTAAGCTTCGTGTAAAGAATGTGCGTTTGCAGCCCTGGGGGAGCAGGAGGACGGGCCTTGGCGAACTCATTGAGTACGTCTTTGCTTGCAGCATCAGCTGGCGCCCTGATTTTCATCAAGAGCTTTATGAATGCCAGAGGCCCCAGCGCGCCCACTCCGTGACCAGACGGGCCACGAGTGCGCTAGCGTAGATAGCGCTACCAAGGGGGATCCTGAAGCGCAGGCAGGCAACTGCGAGCAACACCCGGATGTTGTAGCACTTCCAAACACAGTTAGGAAAGAATCTTCACCAGCTCTTAAAGCTTCGAGGCCAGACCTGTTCCCATGCGGCAGCTCTTGCGCTTGCTTTCGGGACCAGCCGCTCCCTCGAACCGCTCGAACTAGCCACCCCAATATATCCATCGCCCTGGCAGAGTGCACGAGCGAAGCCGCCAACAGCGCGACAAGCAGGAAACCGGCGCAAACAATGGTGCCCTGGCTTACTGGTATATAGAACCGGGAAGCTCACCGCATCGAGGAGAAGATCGGTCAAATGCACTTCGTTACAATACCACTCGAGCCGCTCCAGATCCGGATACACGGATGCACGACATCAGGATCACACAACATGCACGTCAGAGGGCGTCCCACCACCAGAGAGGGGCAGAATATGATACCTCTTTCCAATTAGAAGAATCTGCACCCCGTCGGACTGCGCGCCAAGTTCCGCTAAAGGTGATACTGTGCCTGACGACGAAAAGTGAAGACTGCTTCGCACGAAGGGCAACGATCACTTGCAGCGCAATAGAACTCGAGCGCGCAGCGATCATGCGTACGACTGCGTGGCTGATGCGTTCGTAACCCTTGCCACGTGCGATATCTGACCCCGCAGACAACTCCTTCAACCTCCAAATCGCAGACGAACGACTCGTGCTCCTTCTCCTTTTCCCCGTCCGCCGCTTCGCTACCCAAGCCGCCTCCGCCGCCCCCGCCGCCGCCGCCGCCGAGGGAAGGAGGAGGGCCAAATCCAGGAGGATGAGGGATAGCCACCCTCCCCCACGGATGCGTCAGAATCCCAACATGCACCCAGATAAGTTATTTCCTGCAATCTTCGCTCTGACGGACGTGAGGCAGCATCGATAATCGCCCCATTGTCTAACAGAGCGCCCAACGCCTCCAAACCAGGACACTATGTGCGGAACCAAGGGTGACCGTTGGGATGGACTGTTCCGTCTAGCGCCACGGGGGGGCGGCCCTGGTCGAAAGGAAGATCGCCGAAGAAAACGGCCAGCATAAACACGAACTCCCAGGGGATAACGACAACGTGCATGCCTAAATCAATAGAAACAGGAACGAGCAGGAGGGCCTTGAACGCAGCATCGTTAGGCCAACACGTTCGCACCACCCTTGCATCGTCCATCGCGCGAGCAGAAAAGCAGCTCCGCGGAGAGCAGCATGAACTACTTTAACCCTAGCCGCATTCAAAGCATTGCAGTCCACCAGGGAGACAACCCAAGCAGAGCAAGCATTCAGCAACGAAGAGTAAATCAGACACATGGATACGACGCTAGTCCAACGCATGCACCTGTTAATCGCGAAGAAACGACTCATAAAATGGCACAACCACCAAGAAGCCTGCACGCGACGCTGCCGTTCTGGAGCGACACATCCGGTGTAATTCGCGCGAAGTCCTAGACACCTGCAAGACGCGAGAACACGACCATGCACCTGTCCTCCCCCTCCACCCCTTCCAACACCACCACCTCCACCGTGACGATTTTCACCTCCATGCCCCCCGCGACTTTCCTGACCCATCCCCCCCGTGTCGATGATCGCCACCATGTCTTCCACGTCGTTTCTGACCTCCAAAACAAAGGTGTCCTCATCTGCCAAGGCAGTCCGAATGACGCTCTGCTGAGAATCATATCCGGGTGATAGCAGAGGACCCGGCACCAAACAGATGAGGCCATGGTTCTGTGCAAGCGCATACACAAAATGACATTCGTCCAACCCGGAATGGCAAAGACGAGACTCAGCCTGAAACTCGGGCACCCGGCTGTCGCACAAGAGCGCGCGCGCAATGTCGTCTGCGCACGTGCTGGGAGAGACGTCGACGCCGTGAAACCCCAGGTCGCCGAGGGGATAGCGCAAACGCTAATACGGCGCTGGAGTCTTGGCGAACAACAGATCCTTGAGCCAAGGAAAACGCGCCGCGCACCATGGCTTGAGGCGAACACGCCGAAAACTTGTCGATGGCCAAGTGAAAGATCCCCAAGAACCACTTCGACGCGACCGTGTCTCTTGGGAGAGCACCATTCCCGAATCGGATTTGCACAGCGCTGTCCGATGTCTCAATTGTAAGACAAGCATATTGCACCCGCTGATGCATGAAACGCTTGTCATCTGAATCATGACAACACTCGTAAGCGAACGCCGCAAGGTCAGCCTGACGTGGACAATGGAACGCATTCGCCGAGTCATACAAATTCGTGGTGTGCGATACTTTGGCCGAGCAGAACCGATGGCGCAGGATGTTCGGTGGCATAATGCACTGCTCTCTGCGTCTATGACGCATGTAATTATCCAGCGGCACGCGGCCGACGATGTAACTGCTTGCCCCCAGCCTGGAGTACCGCATCAAACACCTTGCCATGGCCATCCAGCCAGCGCAACACTCGCATCGCAGCCAATCCCTGCTTCGGAGTGCCGGCCTTGCGAATGGAGAAAGAATCGCCAAGATGCCAAATGAGCGGTGAACGCTTGGTGCGCCTTTCCTCCTCCTCCTCCTTTCCTTTTCCTGTCGCACCCCGAGGCCGGTCGAAGGGCAGGCCGGGCGTTTCGCCTCAAAGTTCCGAACCACGTGTGAGCCTGAGGCTTAGAAACTGGTTACGGCTTCGCAGATGGAGGGCGGGCCGTTTTCACAATGTGGCTGTCGCCTTAGCGCCACGCTCATTCGTTGTCCATATTCGCAGAAGTTTCACGGATCGTGGGCAGGTCGTTTTCAGAGTGTGGCTCTCGCCCAAGCGCCGCGCACACTCGCATTAAACATGTGCAGGATCTCCACGGATTGAAGGGCGGGCCGTTTTCAAAATGTGGTGCTCGTCTTAGCGCCGCGCACACTCGCATTGAGCATGTGCAAGCGCTTCACGGATGAAGGGCGGTTCCTTTTTCAAAATGTGGTTCTCGCCGTCACGCCGCGCACATTCGCTCTCACACAGTTACAAAGAGTTTGCGGACTCTCATGGTTTAGCCTCCCAGAAAAGCTTCTTTTCTTCCCCCCGAGCGATGTAAGATTGTCTGGGTGCAACAGTTACGATGATTCGCAGCGTTGAAGCCCCAGGAAAAGTATTCTGCCAACAGCATCGTCGATTCGCGGCGATGCAATCCCAGGAGTAGTGTTCTGGCATAGTTCAACAAATTCTCATGTGTATCTCCCAACGGGGCACTTCCCTCAGTGGAAGTGAATACTTCTATGGGGCCTGCGCAGAGGGAGCTTGGAGACAGGGTGTCTCCCGACATCGTTGGCGAGTCTTGGGCTTGCACTGGTCCTCCTTTTTCCTCCTCCTCATCAAATCTTCTGATCATCCAGTCTCCTCCTCATGCAATCTCCTCCTTATCCAACCTCCTCCCCCGCCCCCTCCTCCTCCTCCTCCTCCTTCTCCTCCTCCTCCTCCTCCTTCTCCTCCTCCTCCTCCTCCTCCTCCTCCTCCTCCTCCCCCTCCTCCTCCTCCTCCTCCTCCAACCTCCTCCTCCAACCTCCTCCTCCTCCAACCTCCTCCTTCTCCAACCTCCTCCTCCTCCAACCGCCTCCGCCTCCTCCTCCTCCTCCTCCTCCTCCTCCTCCTCCTCCTCCTCCAACCTCCTCCCCTCCACCGTCTTCCTCGCCGCCTCGTCTCCCTCTTCCGCCTCCGCGGCTCGCCGCCCCGTGCCGCGGGGCCGCTCACAGTGGCCTGCTGACGTCGAAGCTGGGGCGGCGGGGGGTCCCCAGCTGCCGCCGAGGGGCGCGCTTCTTGCCCGTCGCCTGGGAGGAGGAGGAGGAGGAGGAGGAGGAGGAGGAGGACGACGACGACGACGGCGACGGCGACGGCGACGGCGACGGCGACGGCGACGACGACGCCGACAACGACGATGACGACGCCGACGACGACGACGACGACGACGACGGCGGCGGCGGTGGCGACGGCGGCGGCGGCGACGGCCCCTCGCAGGAGTGCAGGGCCGCGATCGAGAGGAGGAGGAGGAGTGGGGGAGGGAGGGAGGGGGCGGGGAGGGAGAGAGAGGAGGGAGAGGCGGGACAGGAGAAGAGGGAGAAGAGGGACAGGAGGGAGGGAGGACGGAGAGGAGGGATGGGAGGGAGGATGAGAGGGAAGGGAAGGGAAGACGGAGGAGGAGATAGAGGGGTAGAGGGAGGAGGACTGGGATTCTGAGGTGGCCTCTTTGTGCGCCCGCGTGGGCGCACGAGGTCCGGGGAGGGGGGAGGGGGGGAAGGGAGGGAGGGAGGGAGGGAGGGGGGAGAAAAGGGAAGGACAGAGGGAGAAGGGAGGGAGGGAGGGAGGGAGGAGAGGAGAGGAGAAGAGAAGAGGAGGAGAAACTGGAGGGGGCAAGCCTCCGCCCTGGAGGCGATGAGCCCGGTCTTACCGTCGCACGCGCCGCAGGGTTCCTCCTTCTGCGAGGTGAGGGAGACCGTCTTCTCCTTCATGTCGTACCCGACCGTGTACTCGTAGAACAGAGGGGTGCCGAGGATCCAGACTGGTCCGTTCTCAATCGTCTGGTAATCCATTTCGTCGAACGAGTGCATGCACGTCCTGACCATCTTTCCGGTGCCGTTGGTGCCAACGGGGACGTCGCCAAGGCCGTCGATGTGCATGTAGGTGTTCTCCTTCTCCTCCACCATCGAATCGATTACCCAAGTGCGAGCCGGGATAGTGACCTTCTGCTGTGAGCCCTTACCTGTCAGGTAGAAGTGGATCGCCGGCAATTCGTCGAGGTCCCCATCCTTCAGCCAGACCGCACAGTCTGTCAGCACCATATCCAGCACATCCGCCTTGCTAGAGACTGAGAATTCGAATGGATTGGTGTTGTACTCCTTGGTGATGACCTTCTTGGCCTCCTCCACCGCGCTCACCAGGGCGGTGTAGTTCTGGCGGCATCGGGGCCAGCCGTCGCAGATTGCCTCCAGCAGGGCGTTGGTGTGCCCCTTCGGGCCCACGATCATTGTGGTGCCGGAGTCGGGGATGGCGCCGCAGGGCGTGGTCTGACCCTCCTTCATGTTGTCCTTGGAGCACAGCGCGCTGGTGCCGCCGCTGGGCGCCGAGACGAGGCGAGCGCCAGCGCCGTCACCCAAGGGGAAGCCCAACTCGGGATCCTGGGAAGAAGAACAGATATCACCACTCCACGGACCTCTCCTGGGGTGCGCTCTGGCCAGAACCTCGACACGAATCTGGACGTGGCGACGAAGGAAGGACAGCGGCATCGGCCCCTTTCCCTCCTCAGACGGGGGGCCCCACAAAACGGCACAAACAGATTGCCTCGGAAGCCCGCGCGGACTTCTTGGATCTTGGCGGCGCGCACAAGGGGGTGGGGGGGGGGGGGGAGAGCTTCTTAGAAGCAGGCTGCTTCTTAGAAGGCACCGGCATTACATCTATAGATAAGGCCCGCGCCTTCTAAGAAGGAGGGGTGCTTCTAAGAAGCCCTCCCCCCTCCCCCCACCCCCCTCTGCGCGTGGCTGAGGATCGGCGCTGGACACCCTCCCTGACGTGAGGGGCGCACCCGGGGCGGCGCCGGAAGCGCCGCCAGGGGGGCCCCGCGCCGGTCCAGGAGAGCCGCGCGGGCCTCCGAGAAAAATTAAGGCCAGGAGCTCGAGGACGGCGCGCCGCGGCGGCGGCCCCCGCGACGCCGCTGGGCCCTGCAGGCGGACAGCGTGTCGCTCCGCTCCGCGGGGCGGGAGGCTGGGAGAGGCTCGAGACTCGGGTCGGGCGAAAGGGGGGGAATAGCAAAGGGGGGGGGGGAGAATCGGCTCACGTAGCTGATTTTCTCCCGGCGCCTCCCGGCGCCGGAGGCGGCTGTGTATCGAGGAATGGGCCCCTCGGTGAGGCCGAAACCAGCTGCATGCAGGAAATTCAGATTTCGCACCCCCCCCTTGCCCAAACCCCCTTGTCGTCCGGCCCGAGAGGCGCCGACGGGAGGACCTGGAAGCGGAGAGCGTGCCGCGCCGAGGCGTGGTGGGCCGGAGCCGGCGGTGCGACGCGCGAGTCGGAAGTGCCCGGCCACACGCTCATGTCGTTGCTTGCTCTTCGACCTCTCTGAGATGCCCTTTGAGCAGGGGCCGACCGCCCCGGCACTCCTACAGTCCTACCCCACGAAATGTTCTCAGAGCCCCACAATGTTCTAAGAACGAAAACAGTGTTCTCTGAACATCAGCCCGATGTGATTAGCCTGGCGAAGGACCCAACCATATGCAGTTGAGAGTACCGCAATTGTGAATATCTTCTTCGGTGGCGCTCCCTATGGGGCCACGAGCCGTATGAGGGGTGTGCCGAAATGCGTGGCAGTGTACACAACACGAACGAAGACGATAGGTCCGAATATGAAAGCTTGAGCGCGTGCGAGTCGGATCGCGAGCGAGTCTGATTATGAATGAATCTGCGCGCGATTGATTCTATTCGCATGAATGCGTGCATGGATACGCCCAGTGTAAATGTATGTATACGACTGTGAACAGTTTGGGTCTGCGTGACTCTCGGTACTCGTGACTCTGAGCGTCGCCTCTGCAGGGGGCTTCCCTGGGAACCCCGACGGCAGCGCCCGCGCGCCGCGACGCCCATGTCGGCACGCCACACACCTGGTGTGCGGGACGCATGCGGACGGCAGCACTGGGGCCTTCGGTGGAGCTCCCTGTGGGGCCACGAAACGTGTGAGGGGTGTGCCGAAATGGGTGTGCGGGACGCATGCGGACGGCAGCCATGGGGCCTTCGGTGGAGCTCCCTGTGGGGCCACGAAACGTGTGAGGGGTGTGCCGAAATGGGTGTGCGGGACGCATGCGGACGGCAGCACTGGGGCCTTCGGTGGAGCTCCCTATGGGGCCACGAAACGTGTGAGGGGTGTGCCGAAATGGGTGTGCGGGACGCATGCGGACGGCAGCCACTGGGGCCTTCGGTGGAGCTCCCTGTGGGGCCACGAAACGTGTGAGGGGTGTGCCGAAATGGGTGTGCGGGACGCATGCGGACGGCAGCACTGGGGCCTTCGGTGGAGCTCCCTGTGGGGCCACGAAACGTGTGAGGGGTGTGCCGAAATGGGTGTGCGGGACGCATGCGGACGGCAGCCATGGGGCCTTCGGTGGAGCTCCCTATGGGGCCACGAAACGTGTGAGGGGTGTGCCGAAATGGGTGTGCGGGACGCATGCGGACGGCAGCACTGGGGCCTTCGGTGGAGCTCCCTATGGGGCCACGAAACGTGTGAGGGGTGTGCCGAAATGGGTGTGCGGGACGCATGCGGACGGCAGCACTGGGGCCTTCGGTGGAGCTCCCTATGGGGCCACGAAACGTGTGAGGGGTGTGCCGAAATGGTGTGCGGGACGCATGCGGACGGCAGCACTGGGGCCTTCGGTGGAGCTCCCTGTGGGGCCACGAAACGTGTGAGGGGTGTGCCGAAATGGGTGTGCGGGACGCATGCGGACGGCAGCCATGGGGCCTTCGGTGGAGCTCCCTGTGGGGCCACGAAACGTGTGAGGGGTGTGCCGAAATGGGTGTGCGGGACGCATGCGGACGGCAGCCATGGGGCCTTCGGTGGAGCTCCCTATGGGGCCACGAAACGTGTGAGGGGTGTGCCGAAATGGGTGTGCGGGACGCATGCGGACGGCAGCACTGGGGCCTTCGGTGGAGCTCCCTGTGGGGCCACGAAACGTGTGAGGGGTGTGCCGAAATGGGTGTGCGGGACGCATGCGGACGGCAGCACTGGGGCCTTCGGTGGAGCTCCCTATGGGGCCACGAAACGTGTGAGGGGTGTGCCGAAATGGGTGTGCGGGACGCATGCGGACGGCAGCCATGGGGCCTTCGGTGGAGCTCCCTATGGGGCCACGAAACGTGTGAGGGG